GAAAAGGTGGCGGAACTCAAACCTGGCCACGCCCTCATCAAACCCTAGGACCGCCCCTTTAGAGAACAGGAATGCAAGTAAAATTTGGGAGGGGCTATTTCCGGTGTGGGAGGGGCTATTTCCGGTGCGGCCGGCCCGGAAAAAGGTGCCGGAACGCGGTTCCGCCGCGTTCCGGCTGAAAAAAAGCCCTGCTTTTAAGCATTATTTTGTTGCAGAATTTTGGGATCAAACATATACATGTATTTGCTTGAAAGTAAATCCTGCTGAATATGAACTGATTTTCTATTTATGCTTAAAGGTACAAGTCTGGAAGAATTATATAAATACTCTTTAACATCATGCATAAAAATATCTTTGTCCAGTCTTCCATTTTTTGATTATGATTCAACACAGGGGATACTTACCCAGAACAGCTAGTTTAGGGGGATGCAATTAATTGCATTTTTTACAAACAGGATTTGAATCTAATTTTGGGACAGAAATCTGCCCAGAGTCGCTTGATAGTGAGATTGGCAGCATATAAATGTAATAAATAATGGTGGATGATTTATGCCAAAAAATGGGAAAAAAACCCATCCTCAAATCTAGGGAGAACTCAATGACTAAAATCAGTAAGCAGATTAACAACAAAGAGAAAATGCAATTTATTGTATAGCTTAATTATTGTAAAGCTATACAGAGCTATGCTTTGGACTGAAGAAAAGCAAATTTATCTATACACATGGAGGGCCAACTAGGAAACATAGTGAAGGGATGAAGGAGTTGAGCCCATTGTTGAATTCTGTTACTTTCCAAAAATCAAACAAATCCCACTCAAATTCCCTTTCTCTGCTAGCGAATATTATTAGATTTTGATTAACTTGTGTTAGCCAATACAACAACTCAGTTATATCCAGCTGTTTTCTTTGTTTTTCTTTCTGGCCAAGCAATGTGAATTCAGTATAGGATGGAAATAGCATGAACATTTTCTGAAATGGGGAATGTATAAATCATATTTTCAGCATCCTTTGAAACAGCACCTACTGAGAACACAATTCTGCCTCTGTTAAATCCAGAACACAAGTCTGCTGCTATTAGATCCAATCTGCTTATCTGAAGGCACCTTATTACTTTATCTTTGCAGGCTCTTCCTTATCCTTTGCCAGCAAGTGAACCTTGATAGCAGCCAAAGGGAAGCACTGGTCTAACCCCTTCCTAGCACTCAGTAGACTCCCTATGTGCATCAGAATATGTGAAACAGAGTCTTTCTGCTTCAGGCTTCTATTGCTCTGTGGCAGGGGTGTCAAACTCAATTTCATTGAGGGCCCCATCAGCATTGCAGTTGCCCTCGGAGGGCCGGGTGGGTTGGCCAGGGTGGGTGCAGCCTACTGGGTGGGCATGGATGGAGTGAGTGTGGCCTACTGGGTGGGCCACACCCAGTGTCAAGGGTGCCTGTGGGAGCCTGGGCAGGAGTGGGATAGATCTGAGGGTCTCTGGCAGAAAGGGGTGGGACCAGGGCAGAGCCCATCAAGCCAGATATGTGAAGTAGGCGAGGGCCATTTGCTGGCCACTTCCAGGCGATGGTGCATTTCTTCATTCCTCACAAAGGGTGACACCTCCCCAGCATGCACCCAGGGGGTGGGGCCGACGCAGCAGGGGCTGGTTCCTCGCTGTTTCCAGACGGCTTTGTGGAGCTAAGATTGAATGCATTTCAGCATAGATGGCCACCACAAAATTGTATATTGGCTCCCGGCCAGCCTGGGCCAGGGCCAAGGCAGCAGGGGCCGTTCCCTCACTGTTTCCAGGATGGCTTCGCGGGCCACATCAAACCACTTCGCGGGCCGCATCCGGCCCCCGGGCCTTGTGTTTGACATGGCTGCTCTATGGAAATCATGCCTACTTCTTCTTATAACTAGAAAACACCAAATGGCAAAAGAGCATCTCTGACAAAATGGAGCTTTTTTTATCTTAGCTTCACTGGAGCACTCTTTTTCTTATCTTCAAGCAGAGATGGTTCCCACTATGTCAGGAGGCATATTCTTCCTCCAGCCATGTTCACAGAGAGATGATTTCATGACCCCTTTCTGACTTTACCCTCTTCTAACTTTCCCACATCCTAGTGGCTCTGAGATATGCCAGCTTTGCCTCGTCCATCCTGCTCTTCCATGCAGAGGAAAGCCACCAGGAAATGAGGGGATGGCATGGTGCAGCAAGATGGGGCTGGCAAGGCAGTCAATGGGCATAGGCAACAATATAAAACAGCTTGCTATTTCCTTTTTTCAGAATGACATTTTTTGCATTTCCCATTTTAGCATAAAGCCCTGAAATCTCCTGGTGGTCTCTCATCCAAATACTAACCATGTCTGACCATTTAGATCTTCACCTTCCCCTGAGCAATCTTCCACATTTCACTGCCAAACATTAAGGTCAGCAAGAGGGTGGAACTGATGTAATGATTCTCTTCTTTCAATACTTCTTGATCTTCCCTTGAAGCAGAGGAAATGGTCTTGGAGAGATTATTCCTGGCTGAGGATGGTGCTTTGTGCCCCTGAATATCATTTACGGTCTGCCTGCCTGATCTAGCCTATCTGTACATTTTCTTCAAAGTAGAAGTGGCACATCAAACAGTCCTTTCTCAGTGCCTATTTCCAAATAAACGCAGCCAGGCCTTCAGGGGACATTTAGACAAGGATGGTGGGGCATCTATGCTAAATCGCAGTTTCCAGCATTTAACAAGGACGTTTGTAGTTTTTGAGAATTAAAAAAGGGGGTACGCAACCTGCATAGGATTGTCACTTCCTGCTTTGTTTGGCTGCTGTTTAAACAAGAATACATAACGGCATACTGCTTCACAAAATAGGGCTGCAGTTATGCTTTTTTAAAAAAAATTCTGGCCTTGCATATTTAGTGGATATGTCCGGAAAAATATGAAGTTTTCCTGCTTCCATTAAATCCAGCGTCGGATTTTCTATGACTCAAGGCTCGACCTTAACATACATGAAACCGTGATATGGGAGTTAACGTGTTGGAATGCACTCGACTCTTGAACCCTACGAGCTGCTGTCTTAAAGCAATAGAAATGGTTGGGAGAAAGAACAAAGAAATCCTAGAATTAAATCAGATCACCGCTTAGAGCAGGCAATCTCGCTAGCCCGGGACTTACCGTTAGGAGGCCAATTTTTTGCAGCAGCTACCGGTACTGGCAAAGCCGGTTGACAAAGCACCGCCTCAGCAGAACCCACTGCGCAAGCGCTGCTAAGACTTAACCCGTCTTCTCTGCTCCTGCGCTGCCATTGCAAATTATCTGATCGTTCCGGACGGTGCTAGTCTGAAAGAGCGAGGCCTGCTCGTGCGAAGAATCGTGCTTCTATTGGTTGCCGAGAGTTCGGATGTTCGTGGGGGCGCGGCGAAATTCTACGCGGCTTACCCGGGAGAATGAACCTTTCTTCCTACGCGTATTTGGCCGAGGGCTCAGCGTAGTTGAACACAATACGGGCATGTTTACGTTTCGAATTCGCACGTGCATACCAGCCTGAATCGGGCAAACCAAATAGGCAAGTAGATAATTTGTATTTTGCTTGCGAATACGAAGCGAAAAATAAAAGCAGTTTTGATACATAGGTCTGTTTTCTTTTTATCAATTTGCGCCTTTAATTGCTTAATTCTGTTCTGAAATTGGAGTGGATCGCTGGGTGTATTAAGGCAATGGAGATAAATGGCGGTCAGAAGGAGAGAACGGTATTCTTTGATTGTAAAAAATATTGCAATAGAATGTTACGAAAAAATAGTATTGGGCATTGTCTCGCCCTAAAAAAGGAGCTGCTAGACACATTTGCCATGATTTCCTTCCCCAGCCTTATATTAATTTAATAAATATATAACCCAAAGTAGCTAACCTTTCTTGTCAATGTATTTCAACACGGTGTCTTTTCAAACTGCCCATGAGCAATTAGTATTTTAACGTTTAAAGATATTTTGAACATGCAGGTATATGTCCAACGCTGGATACTGTGATTCACTTGTTTTCCCACTTTGAGAAACATTGAAATATTTATATTGTGTACTAGATTAGCCAAATGTACTGTATGGTTAATCTACAATATGATCTATCACCAAACCAAATTCCAAATCCATTTTTCATAAACAGAGAAAATATACTGGAATATACATGGTATATAATTTATAAGATATACATTATAATTTATAAGAAAAATGGCTTGGTTATTCCAGGTTTTTGTATGACTGGTTATTCCAGGTTTTTGTATGACAACACACAGCTTATAACAGAAATATTTCTGCTTCCATAGCTGATAGAATTGCAAATTGACTGTAACAGTGTCACTTTTCTCCAGTAGTACACTTACCTAAAAATATTAATTACATTACTTCAAATATTTTTGACAAAACTCAAATAGGTTAAATTGTTAATAGTTGATACAATTGTAAGATACAATCATAATGTTCTATTGACATTTGAACCATTTAATTGATCCCAAATCCAGCTAAAATCAAAATTAATATGCAAGTCTATCGTAGAGCGGTTTTCAAAATAAATGTAAAAATTCCAAAAGAGCATCTATGACTGACTTTCTATAATGTGTTATCAGAATCTTCAGTAGATATATTTGAAGAATTTTTGCAAATAAAACTTTTTCTTTTGGCTGAAACAGTTACTGAAGAATGTGGCTTCTATAAATTGTTTTTGTAATAAAAGCGCTACCACTATGGAAATTGTATATATGAGTCACTCTCCATTAACTGGATCACAGGACTAGGATGAGCAATACTTATCGACGTACTCTTTTTAACCAAAACTATCATGCATTTCCATTCTTGCTGGGAATTTTTTAGTCCATAACTATTGTTATTTGATAAAAAAATATTTATTTAAAACATTTCTATAGTAGCCCATTTACAACTTCGAGCAGCTTCCCAAATCTCTTTTTCAGAACCATTTGCAGCAAGCTACAGCAAATAGGCAAATTTTTGTGACATAAAGTAGCATAATCTTCCACTCCATTTAATAAACCCCATCCTCTTTTGGGGTTTTATTTCAACTTCATTTATTTTAAGTGGTTCAGAAAACAGCAAGCAAATAACACAATCACCTGCTGTATTTGGATACTAAGTTTATAATAATCTACATTTAGGTTATTATATGCAGCAGCATAGATGCACAGATTAAGCACCACAGATACTTTTCAGTTGAGTAGCTGTCAATCTGAAGTCAATTTTCAATACATGGGACGACATGTATGACAAATGTATTTGCCCACTTAGGAAAATAACAGACTAAATACAGATTCCTTTTTAAACTGAATTCCTGTTTCTCAGGGAAAATCACTCTTGTACCACAGAGCTAGCAAAATAGAATTTTTTCTCTTGTGTTCAGTCTGATACAATAATTACAAAAGCAATATTTTCCGTAATTACTATAGATAAGAATCTGCATCTGCTAAAAATTCAACATCATTATCAAGATATTCCAGAATTACATTTCCACCATTATACAGCGGCAATTCTTTAGAGTTTATCCAAAATCCTACTATGTGATCCAAAGGCAGGGCTTCTCCAGATGCTGTGTGGCAAAGTCTTAATTTCTGAAAATTGGGAGGGGAAGAAGTTAATCACTCTTAAATCCAAATATATGGAATTCCCACAATATTGCTTCAATTGATTTACCTTGGCTGTGGTTATGTTGTTGTCATTTTTAAGGCTTGCTAAACGGGCTGCAGAATCTATCACTTTGCCAATGCTCCATTTGCTGCAAAAGTACATGGGTATACTTTTGTTTTTACTTCCTTTGGGTAAAAATACTTGGAAATAGATTCTATCTGTCTATAAGAGAAAAAGCCAAGTTGCAGTGTTAAAATAATACTTCCTAGTCAGATATTCCATTTACTTTATTGCTCTAAAAGGAACTTTGGCATTTGTCCACCAGTGCTGAAATTTCTCACCCCAGAACTACAGTTTTAAGACAAATTCCACCTTCCCCCTTTGCTTCAGTAAATCCACATCTTACATATAAGCAACCACCCTTGAAACAAGTTTAATTGTAGGATTAGAAAAAAAAGTGTTAGAGAAATAAAGACTGCAGATTTCAGAAATGTATTGTCTATTCCATTAGCATGATTTACCTGTGGAACAGATTTCTCCCCGCATGCGTGCATTTTCAGTTTCATCAGGGCCACTTTTGCAGCTGTTTCAGGATTCTTGGCTCCTCTGCATTTTTTAATCACAGTGGCTTCTTTTTTAGAATCTAAAAATATAATTCACTGAGTTGAATTTCCTGCCCCTCCCTTTTCTAAATGTTAAGTGCAGTATCTTGGAAGAACATGCTGCTTCCCCCTGCTTGTGTATTTAAGATGTAGTCTCTTCCCTGATCATCAAATCCTGACAGTTGCCATTATTCAAAATATGTGACTGAGAAGTGACAGCACTGAAATCTAAAAGAAGAGATACTCAGGAATTCCTTAGTATGATAAAATAAATTTCTATGGTATCGTGTAATCATTTTAATATAAAATACTGTGGAACAGCAGTATTGTTACTGAAGAAAGTTATACTAAGACCTATTCTTGCAGATTTCAATATGTAGCAAAGACAGGGAGCATGATGTCCATGGACACCCAGATGCCCAGAGATTATCTGTCTTGCTGCATGCCAGGCTCAACAACCCATGTGTTCCTTTTCATTTGTTAGTTTTTTATGTAAGTGGAAAATTGTCATGCTGCAAAACAAATTCCAGCCTCTAATGTCATCCTTATTTATATTGTAAATACCATATGGGGATTATAATTCTAGGCATACTTGGGGAAAAAGTAAAAACTGTAGCATGAATTGTGGAGTACTGTTTGCTACACTATGCCATTCGGTTCAGAAGAAAGACTTCAAATTCCCATTATAATTAACTGAGGTTACAAAGTGCAGCTTAATCTCTGCAATTTTTTGAAGCAGGATTTATTCAACTAAAGGGCATGGATCACTGGATAGGTGCTCTGTTTTAACATGGAGTTCTGAACACTCTATTAGAGGAAACAATATTTTAAAAAATCCTTCTACACTTACCTACAATATCTTTAATCAGTTGCCGAGTGACAGTCATACGAGCTTGAGGGATTTCCAGTTTCTCACACTCATGATCTGACTGATGACGGTGCCTGGAAATAATAGACTGCCAAATATTCAGTAGGTACTTTACAGATCAATAGGATAAGATTTGTTTAAATCATTGTCTTTGCTCACCTTAAGCAAAACTGTTTTTCACAGTAAGCACATAAGACGGGTACAAGTTCTCTTCCATCACAACCTTTATACATGCATGAAAATGATTTGTGATAATCCAGTTTCATATTTTTGTTTTTTAGATTTGCCTAAGTGAATTTAAAAAAAATACAATGTAAATTCTTATTTATTTCAAAGATCAAATTATACATTGAGATGATTAAAGTTCATAGTTTAAGCTAAATGTACACTATTTAAACTACTTGGTGGCAAAAACCTGAGAGGAAGTAGCTAGTTCAAAGTAGGTATAATGCCAAACTATACAGTTAATCCTTTGCTTAAATGCTCCTTCTCTTCCTGTGAACTCCTGGATATATAAGAGCCAACAAAATAATTTGCATACTTGTCCTATAAACCTGGAGTACAACTTGATAGTTCTTTGCAGCATAGACACAAGCCATAACTAGACTGCATAGCAAAAATAGATCTCTTGCAAAACGTATTTTGCAAACCCTGGTGGCACAGTCATTTGAATGCAGTACTGCAAACGCACTCTGCCACAGTCTGAAGTTCGATCCAGATGGGGTTCAAGATTAACAGCTTTCCATCCTTCCAAGGTCAGTAAAAGGAGGACCTAGATTATTGGGGGCAATATGCTGACTCTGTAAACCATTCAGAGAGTGCTATAAAGCACTATGGATTGATATATAAGCCTGCTATTGCTATTTACTTGAAGTCTTTGGTTTTACCACCTTACTTTTTGGAGCAGTTCCCTCAGTCAGGCAATTGGTCTCCTATGATGCTCTGTCTACCCAAATTGCTAGCCAGAACTCCCTCAATTGGTCAACAGGAAAGTATAATAAGAATAAAGGTAGCCAGCTAATAGTCTACCCCCAACCTATTCGTTGTTCCCCAAAGATAGGATTAGCCACAGAGCAGCAGAAAAATATTTTGAGGCTTAGCTGAAAACTGTTTTCAATTGCAATGAAAGAAAAGATTTCAAGCTGTGTTCACAAACAGCCTAATTCACAATAATGTGCTCACTTGGTCAGCCCTTCTAAACTATGTAACCTAAAAGAGCTTTTTTTGCAGGCATAATTTGGGAATAAGACAACCTGGATAAGAAAGTTTTGCTTGTAAAAATATTCCAAACAAATGTAAAGAATATGAATTTCTCTTATTAGGTAAAATATTCATAAATGTAACTTGCAACAAATTATGAATTATTAACTTACCTCAGAACAACTATGAGCAGATCGACTTCTGTGTTGAATACTTAAAAATAATTTTACAGAAACAAAAAAATATGCCATCAATATGTGTAATATAGGATTTTATGAGAGTTTCTTAGTCTTTCTTAAACTCAGCTTAAAATGAAATACCATGTAATATTTATTCTTTCCTTCCTCATTTCCATATTATTTTCTCTAGCCTTCTTTACAACCCTGTCCCAAATCTCTAAAAATAGTCTATATTGCTAGACTATACCTTAATTAATAATATAATTACCAGAAAACTCCTGAGCAGCCATCACAGACAAAAGGGAGGAAATCTAATATAAAAGAAATATCTTAATTATATTCATACTTTGATAGGTATAATTATTATACTGATAAGATATAAGTTGGAAGATCTACTCCATTTGAACACATTACTGGCCAATTTATAGCTAAATAGAATAAACCTGCAGAATTAGGTATGTTTTAATTTGTTGGATTTAAAGAGATTTCAGTCATAAATTCTGAGCAGTATACATATATTTGTAAATCAGGTTGAAAACATTCCAGTAATAAAACAAAGAAATGTCATAGAATACAGTGACATGTATGCTATCCTTATAGAAATACAATTTACTAATTTAACTGCATTGGATTGTGCCTTTTTTTAGACCTTTCAAATAAGAAAAAGGTAATTAATGTTTCTGTCTTGAATTGTTTAATAAGAGTCATGGTAAAAAAAAATTCTCTGACTTTTTGTTTCATAATTTTATCTTTTTCAGTTACAGGAATATAATAATTCAGTAGCTGTATAGTCCGTGTGTTAAATTCTCACAGGGTTATAGTTGTTGTGGGGAGTGTTGTATCGTTTTCTTGAAGGACATGAGGGTTATGCATCTAATAAGACACCAAGAGAATTTTCAATAATATAAAAGTGCATATTGAAACAAAGTAACAGTTTAAAATAATACTAAAGAACAATACATTATGATAAACATAAACTATGTGTGGAACATTTTGTAGAAAGGCAGGATTACAACGTCAAATATATAAGTGGGAATAAAACTCTTCTTTCCTTGTCCAGTTTTCCTAAAACCTCTGGCCCACAAGTGCTTTGTTTTTGAATGACCTTGGGATGATTTTCAGTAGATCAGAGTAATAGCTAGCAATAGTTAGAAAAAATAGATTTTTCGTATCACCTAAATTAAGCTAAAGATGGAAGCAAAGTGGGATTTTAATGGTAGACCTGTGAGTACATCTCTGCTTAAAAGATCTCCTTTCAGTGTACTAAAGATAGGCAGAGTTCACTTTCTTCCTTAATGCTACATTTTACCCACACATCAATTCTTCGTTCTTAAGAACTTTTTAAAACATTAAGCATAAATGACATCAAATCATACAACGTGTGGTCACTCCTGTAAGTTTTTTTTTTAAAAAAGGAAATCTGCTTTTCACTACATTCATAACCACAAACGCCCTTCAGCTGCATTTAACCAGTAGGCAGGCAGGCAGATTCATAGAAAGAGCCTCAGCATTCACCCTCGTCTTTTCGATCGTCCACTCTTGCCTGCACCCTGGTTTGCGCTCGAATAGCGCTCGTGGGAAAGGTAGAAGCACCGAGCCAAGTGCGGGAATCGTTTAATGCTGAAATTCCCACGGTGACAGCCAGCCAACTCAAGAGGCACAAATGTTTCGCGGTAAAAGTTGCGAGCCCTCCAAATACTTATTTGGGTCAGACCCCGGCCGATCACTCTTTTCCTCTAGACTAGAGTCTCCTAACCTGAACTTCCCAACAGAACGCTCTTACCGAGCTGTTTACACTCTTCAACCCCGCAATGCTGCCCGATTTCCAATTCCGCCATGTTTCCCAACAGCGCATGTGCAGGCCGTCACTTTCTTCCGGGAACACTGAGGTCTTTATTCCCCCTCCCCCCCCTTTCTTTTTCCCTTCCCTGTTGCTTGAAACCTAATGGGAGGCGGGCTCGCCTCTGACGTCAACAGAGGGGTGGAGCTTGTGCGGTGACTCATGAATAATCCATGTAGTTATCAAGCAACAACTGCGAATTGATTTTATGTTTCCTTCTGGAGATTTTTCGGTTTCCCATTTTAGACTTCAGTTTAGGATTTCTTAGAAGTCTCTCGTTCACTTCTGACAAACCATGAAATGAACTTGTGATTCAACAAAAATCCATTGCCCTACGGATTGTTTCTATTATGTGAGCTAAAAAAAAAATAATTAATGGACATTTAAAATCATTTAGGAAAAGTGCATAGGTTTTTGTTTTTTCTGTTAATAAGCAGATAACTGAAGTTGATCACAATTTAATATGAGTCAGCAGCAAATCCTGGCTGCCTTGACAAAATGTAGTTTGTAAAAAGTGAGAAGAATTCCACTATATTATGTACTAGTCAACCTTGAGCTGAACACAATACTGCATTCAGTGACGAAAGTTAGACCCATCATAAATCTTTAACTTTTCAGTTAGTATTTCACTGAAGTCTGACGCTGAATGCTTTAGCCCAGGGGTAGTCAACCTTGGCTCTTTTATGACTCGTGGACTTCAATTCCCAGAATTCCTGAGCCAGCTTAGCTGGCTCAGGAATTCTGGGAGTTGAAGTCCACGAGTCATAAAAGAGCCAAGGTTGACTACCCCTGCAGTTTAGCCTCTTTTATCCCAATGGCAATCAAGTTTTATTTTTAGTTACAACGTGCGTTCGACTTTTACCCCAAGTTCAATGTTTCAAAGTAAAAATGCAACAATAATAAATGGAGTTTGAAACGGGAATGCAATTTCTGTGAATTAACAGCAAACGCTCTAAATATTGCTTAGCTCTGGAATAACGTGCTTCTGCACCTATGCCGGAAATACACGACTATTTAGCCAAACTTCAGGAACGGGAGTTTTGTTACAGCTCGGGACGGCATGTTCCAGCGGGGGGGGGGGGGGGAAAGCAAGTCCAGATTTTCCACGTCACAAATCCACCATTTCTCCTGTTTACTGGGCGCGCGGCTTCCTTCCCAAGCGAGCAATGTAGGGTTTCCGCGGTTGCGGATGCCATTTGAGAGAGACACAATCCCCGCTCGCAGCACCTGTGGCAGGTGCGCGCGGGTCACGTGACTCTGCCCGTCGGTCTTGGGAGCCGCGCCAGCTTCCTTCCTTTTAGGCGTTTCTCCGCTTGCGCGACCGGACGGGATTAGGGAATGCGGATAGAGTTGGCCGCCGCTCGTTAGTTCTCGGGAAAAAAAACAGAAAAAGAAAAATCCCGAAGGAGTCGGGTGTGTGTGTGTGTGTTCAGGCCGACTTCCCTTTAGACGCTGGCGATTCGGCGGACCGAAGATGAGCAAGATCCAGAAGTTTTTCAAGGGCGGCGGGGGCTCTGGCTACTCCAAGGGGAAAGGGAAAGGCGGGCCCACGCCGCAGGAAGCTTTAGCGCGGTTGCGGGAGACGGAAGAAATGCTGACCAAGAAGCAGGAATACCTGGAAGCCAGGGTCGCCAAGGAACTGGCCCTGGCTAAGAAACACGGCACCCGAGACAAGCGAGGTGGGTTTTCTCGAGAAGCGGGCCTGAATCTGAAGTCGAGGTGATAAGTGTACATCGCTGAGATGTGGGGGCTTTCGGAAACGAGCCCCCCTCCCCAGCGTGAGCAGAGTACAAAGCCTGGTCACACAATTAACCGTGTGAACTCATGGTTTTAGGCCAGGGGTAGTCAACCTTGGCTCTTTTATGACTCGTGGACTTCAACTCCCAGAATTCCTGAGCCAGCTAAGCTGGCTCAGGAATTCTGGGAGTTGAAGTCCACGAGTCATAAAAGAGCCAAGGTTGACTACCCCCGTTTTAGGCAGTTGTCCACGACTTTAAAAAAAAGTATCGTTATTGTGTTGGTTATGAGGAAGGGCAGAAAGTGACTTTTGTATTGCAAAATCTTACATCGAGCTCTGTTTCCTTAACTACGGGAGAGACTTTTAACTTTTCTATGCGGTTATAGTGGTTTCTTTTTATACAGGGTAGAAGTTGGAGGTTGGTCACTGTCTTTTTTAAATTCTGGTACTTGCATTGCATTGCTTGTGCTTAATTGTAAACTTTGACTGAACAAAGTTATAATTGGAGTGCTGGAGATGGTTGTTTGTGTGTCAGTGAGTTGGGATTTGGCCCTTGCTATATTTAAAGCTCAGCCTCCCTTTGACAATCATAATGTGTGGCTCTACCCAGGGTGAAAATGCTTTCTTTCCTATGTAAAATGTTTCTCGTTTTCACATCCTATACGAGAAATAAGCCTCAAGTGAAATAAATTTAAACACTGAGCTTAATGATCTTGTGTGCCCCTTTCTTACCTTTAAGATATTCCATTGTTGTGCTTAATTTTAAAGGTAATCATCAGCCCTACATTTAAAGATTTTTGCCTTCAGATGGTTTCCTGCTTTTAAATGCTATCCTGAGGACTTTATTGCCAGAAATCCTTCTTGTACTCTTCCCTCATAAATTTATTTCCCAGAATAGAAACTTCCGCAAGACTTCACCAGCTTTCCCCTGAGCTATTTTGAATCCTTCTGCCCGTATTTCTTTCCAGATTGCTTTGCATGTGAACATAATACCTGCTAGGAAGTTTTAATTGTGGATGGTTCGATAAATAAGATGACTTTAGCAATTGCAGTAATAGAACTTTTCTCTCTGTGTAATGGTATTCAGAATAATGCCTTGCTTTTTGAATAAAACTTATAAGGTTATCTACTAATCTGTTTTGATCTTGTTTAGGGCATTGCTAATGTTGCCTTTGTTAAGAACCCTTATGTAAGAATAGTTGTGCCTTAACAAATCCAACTTACTGAGTAGGACTTATTTTTGAATTGATTATATGTCATTGAGTTGTTTTTGACTCCTAGTGTCCACATAGATAAATTTCCAACTGACAAACTGTCCCTAGCCTGGCCTTTCAGGTATTCCAACATTCTTTCTAAATAACATTTATTCATGGTATAAACAAAGTGGTTTTTAGGATTCAGGTGTGAAATTTTACATGCATTCTTAAAATGTCACGTGTGAGAAGTAAATAAATATATATTTACTTATATAATTTAAATAAGCAAATTTATATAAAATATATAAGTAAATACATCATGACACCTCCCTTTTCTGTTTCAAATCACTGGAGTTAAATAACTCCAAAACAAGGCATATGTGGGAGTGAGGTATATCCAAAAAATCAAGATGGCAACTGCCATCACAAGACTGAATACCTGTGATGTACATGGATGAACATAAAAAATTGCATATGTAATATATAGAGAAAGGAGTGAGGCTTTATTTACATACCTGCCATACTGAATCAAATTTTTTGACCCCTGCCCCTTTTATCAATCTTTCAATCAGAATAGAGCTGGAAGGAACCTTGGAGATCTTCTAGTCCAGCCCCCTGCTCACACTGGAGATCCTATACCATTTCAGACAAGTGGCTGTCTAATCTCTTTTTAAAAACCTCTAGTGATGAAGCACCCACAACTTCTGATGGCAAGCTGTTGCACTGGTTAATTGTTCTCACTGTTAGGAAGTTTCTCCCTAATTCCAGGTTGCTTCTCTCCTTGATTAGTTTCTATCCATTGTTTCTTGTCCTGCCTTCTGGTGCTTTGGAAAATAAATTGACCCCCTCCTCCTTGTGGCAGCCTCTCAAATACTGGAATACTGCTATCATGTCCCTACTAGTCCTTCTTTTCTCTAGACTGGGATACCCAATTCCTGCAACTGTTCTTCATATGTTTTAGTCTCCAGGCCTTTAATCATCTTAGTTGCTCTTCTTTGCACTTTTTCCAAAGTTTCAACCTCTTTTTTTGTAATGTGATGTGATGTGGTGTTCTTTTAAAGTAAAGAGTTGCAAAACCTAACATTTTAAAAAACTTGAAGACAGTGTTGAAATTGGGGGGAAAGCACTGATTTAACACTGGTATGAATAAGGATGATGTTGGGCTGTCTCACTTGGGAGCTGACAGCAGAGTCATTGGGGCAGGAAATAAAAAAATCATCAGAGTATATTTGTATTATGGTTAGTGCAACCAGGGGAAAAATATGAAGTAGATATGTTTTGAATAAAGCCATTGTGTTTTACATCATGTTACTAAAGTCTAAAGGTCCCCAGGGCAGTATGGAGATGCTGCAGCAGTTGTAAGTGTGAAAAATGGTCATAAGCCATCACTTTTTAATTGTACAGTTTTTAATAAAAAAAATAATTTGTTCAGCTTCTCACTAAAGTGGAATCAATGTTTTTGTTATACTGAAGGTAGCTAAAATACAATTATATAAATTTAGAACACACTTCCTGAAACTATTTTTATTGGCTAACTAGAATGGATCTGCAAGCACAGAAAAAGCTGCTGTAGAGTCAGTGGTGGGATTCAAATATGTGAACAAATATTCTCTGTGTGGATGCCGCTTCCAGAAGTCCATTCTGGGCCTGGGCAACAAAAAATTAGCTACCGGTTCTGCCAAAGTGGTGCGAACCGGCTGAATCCCACCACTGTGTAGAGTTCTAATTTTAGATTACATTTCATCCCAACTGAAAGCACCGTATGTTACAAAATGGTAGTCAATTTAGTTTTAACATACAGGGTTGGTTGGTTTTTAACTATACACTGCCCAGAGTCGATTTGACAGTGAAATAGATGGTATCTGCATTGACAAAATAAATAAATTATTTGCCCTCCAAGGATGGAGGGCAAATTCTGATTGTGTAGTAGGAAATCTAAGATATTCTTTGCACATCTCATGGTGGTTTCTGTCCTAGTTCAGAAAGGCATGACTTTAAAAACTCTTAAGAGAATCTTCTGAGATTGGGCAGGGCAAGAGAGCAAAGTCTTGGATTCAAGACTTCCCAGTTTCGTCCATTCCTTTTGAATCCTTTTTTTTTTAGCTCTAAAACCTACTTCAACCATGATCACCAAAATCGAAAGGTTTCCTGCCATAAAAGATGAGAAATCCATGATAAAGCTATAGCAGTGTGTTTTTTTTAATTCTTTCCACCTTTTTCACACGTTTCGTAACAAAGAAAGTCTGTGGAAATGGTCGTAACCGGAACAGTCGACAGACCCATTGTTTTATTACATAGACATAGACACAAAAAGTCAATAGTGGAATACAATACAGACATATGTAAAGACACATACATATATGACCTTTCGTGACCCACGTTATATATATATTTGAAGTGACAGTCACATGACCTGGAGGGAAGAATGGGGAGGGCTTAGAATGATGCAGTGACCATCTTTCTGAGTCACAGCCCACTTGTGTCTCCCATAGGAATTTATGGGGGGAAAATTTTCAGGATTATTTTATCTTTTTCCAAAGCCCTAGAGCTGTGTTTTACTGATTTTCTCTTCACACCAAATTTGGTTCCATTCTGTTCAGTTCTAAATATATGATGCAGACAGAGTGCCAACCCCCTTTACACAACTTATTTCCAATATCTCACAGAGTTGGGGGGGGGAGAGCTAGACCATTTTTTGAACTTGTTGACTCTTTTTTAAAAAATTAATAAATACTACTTTACTAATAGTATGAACAACAACAACAACAAAACATCCGTCAATTGCAAAAGGCAGCTTTACTTAGAACAGTCTGCATGTTCGACAATACTTTTAACAATATCAAACATCCACATCTCCTATTCCAGATCTTTGGGAAGGACTCAATAGGTGGACAAAAATACCAAATCCAGTCTAAACATCTGGTTGACTGTGCAACAAACCATAATAACAATAATGGATAATCCCATCACCTTTGTGGATTGATATTGGCCACTTTGGAAAATCCTGTCCTAAATAATGGATAATATAACATCAAAGCACCTGAAAGCAGGAAAAGAAGCAATGGATGTAACTAATCAAGGAGAGAACCAATCCTGAACTAAGGAGGAATTTTCTGACAGTGAGAACAATTAACCAGTGGAATGGCTTGTCTCCAGAGATTGTGGGTGCTTTATTACTGGAGGTTTTAAAGAAGAGATTGGATAGCCATTTGTCTGAAATGATAGGGTCTCCTGCTTGAGCAGGGGGTTTAACTAGAAGATCTCCAAGGTTCCTTCCAACTCTGTTATTCTGTTATATATCCAGATATACTTCTGATATAGCAGATTCTTGTAGTTTTGATAAGAATCCTAATGGAAGCTTGAGAATTATTAGTTGAAAGAATTGGTTGTAAAAGTTGGTTAAGAAGATGATAAATGATTCTGCTTATATTTGCTCTTCACTGGATGTGTCCTGCTTGACCATTATATGCATAGTCCTCAAAATGAACAAGTTATTTATAATGCTTTTCACCAGATCTTGAAAGTATTGGTAAAGAATCTGGCAGATGACATGTCTGGAACGATATTGCTCAGCATGGATGTATAAGTGCATTTGACATACCAGCTGGCAAAGGCCTAATTGAGCAATTGGTGCTTTGGAGTGAATAAAAATGCACAAAATGCACAAAAAAAGTCTAGATTTCCTAGCCATAAGCTAATGGCAGACTTATCAATAAATTTATAATATCAGGCAAGTTTCCTCCTG